GTAACCTGATGTACTGACTCAATAATATATATTCCACATTAACATAATATATTGTATCGTCCTTAAGGTAAGAAAGAACACAGATTATAGCATTGGTTCTCAACCTTCCTAATGCTGTGATCCTTTAATACGGTTCCTCGTGTTGTGATGACCCCTCAACCACAAAATTATTTTCATTGCTACTTCATAACTGTAATTTTGCTACTGTTATGAATTGTAATGTTTTCCGATGGTCTTAGGTGACCCCTATTAAAGGGTCATTCGACACCTCCTCAAAAAGGGGGTGTGACCCACAGGTTGAGAACTGCTGGACTGTAGTCAACCAGCAATAACAACAAAAGAAATTCTTTCCACAAGAAAAGGATTGAATGTGCTGGAGACTGTGGGAAATTCCTTTCCTGGGCTATTTTTCTTCTCCTTTTCGGGAGCATGTACCAGGAATTATTTGAGATTATTACTCCAGACCCCGTGAATTTCCATGAAAAAGAGTACCCCTCTGATTAGTTGATTTGGATCACTGATGTCCATTTCAGGTTATACAAAATGCCAAGTAGGTGTAGTTTGCAATTAATCAAGCTAGCTACCCGCCTGCTTTTAAATAAGAAGGGTAGATACCCCGGTTTCTGTAAAGCTCTCAGAACTTGACTCTGGGTGCACAAAGGCCCCCTGGGCTTGAGTGAGACAGTAAAGAAAAAAATAATTAGAAAGAAAGGTTCCATCCAGAGCCAGGAAACCCTTGAATGCCTGTGAAGAAACTTGAGCTCTGCCTTGAAGCGGATGCTGATGGAGTTCTTGCTGCTTTGATGGCAGAGGATAGAAGCAAGGAGAGGCACACATAAAGTAAATTGGCAAGAGTGGAGGAAAGACATGGTGTGAGGAAAACACCTAAATGTCTCTTGCAGCAATCTAGCACAAAGTGATAGGACCTCGGGCAAATGCATTAAAACTACTAGGGAAAGGCGCAGATAAGGAAAATGCTTTAAAACTCAACGGGAAGACTCCCTTGAGAAGCCAACATCCACTCCAGGGCGTGACTCTGGCTGCCGTTCGGTGTGTCTCTTTCTCACGCTCTCAAAGCTCATGCTTAGCTCTATCTACAGCCACTTCTTAATAAACTCCCACTTCGCTTCCTAAAACGATAAACAAATCAGTAGTTCAAGGGAGCTTTCACGTGCCTAGAAGGGCACATAGGTGTCACCGTTGCTGGTACTCACGTTGAGGATGCTCTCAACTGAGATGCTGTAGAGGCCTGCCTGGCATTTCCACAAACACTTCGTTGGTTGTGGTTACACTGGATATGCGGTTTAGGGTAGCGCTGGGAAGACTACGCAGCTTGTATTCAGGTGTAGGATATTTGGCTGCACTTCCTGGTGCCTGAGCTTCCCTTCCAGGAGAGGAGGAGGCTCACTGTGAATCCTGACGTCCTATGCAGACATAGGTCCCAGATCGCTGTTGACACCAGCACAGCAGCTGGCTGCACTCTTCTGGATTTAACTTCATTTCTAAAATGAACCCAACCATTTCACATGTTAAGCCTAGAAATCTGTGTATCAATAAACACTAACGCTTTTAGTAGCCTCACCGATAAAAATGATGTGGGTTAAATATTGTTTGCATTAGATATATAATTTTCTCCTTTCCAAGCAACTTTTTTTTTGAAAGGAAAAACATAATTCATTTTGGCTTAGGAATTTTGCCAAGCTTTGTTTTTTTCTTTTGAGAACAGAAAAATCGGGCTGGCAGTTATATAACAGAATTGTCAAATAGTGTTAAAATTCCCCCACAATATACAAACATACATACATTTGTACATACATACATATGAAATTTGGGGCGGGAGATGGCTCAGTGGGTTAAATGCTTCCCATGCAACTATGAGGACCTGAGTTGGAATCCCCAGAACCCACACAAACACAAGCATGATAATGCACGTCTATAATCCCAAGTTTCCCAAGGCAACAAGGGTAATAGAGAAAGGGTAATCCCAGGAAACTCATGGGCCAGTCAGCCTGGTGGATGTGGTGACGACCACAAAGAAAGTCTGCCTCCAACAAGGTGGAATACAAGAGCATCCAAGCTTGTAGTCTAACCTCCACATACATGCCATGGCACACCTGTGTACCAGTACTCACACACACAAACATACACACAAACACACACACACACACATACAAACACACATACAAACACATTACACACACACACTGATACACACCAAAGAACCGTGCACCCCAAAAAAGAAGTGTATGACTTATATCTACTATGAACTTGGAATGTTTTTAAGACAGTGAAGTTTTCATTGGGCTTAGATGAAAAAGAATTCTACCAACTCTTTAGCTTCTGCAGCAGGCAGCGCAGCCATGGACCCCTGCCAGCGCTGGGCTTTATCGCGGTCTAAATGGGGCTTTAAGTGTTGTTTCCAGGCCAGGTTCTCCCAGTCCAGACACTTCCCAGCTTTATTGTTTCTGTGTTCTGCCGGATGTACGAAGGATTGACTGTTTTGTTTTCTGGCTCGGAGAGATTAGATGAAGTCTGCGTTTCTGAAGCTCAACCTCTAGGCACGCAACCTTAAAATTCATTTTTTGCAGCTCATATTTTGTAGATTATGTATATTTAGATTATAGTGATCATAACATTTTATTTAACCTTTATCTGGTTTGGTGGTAGGCATAGATAGCAAGATTTATCTCTTTGGAACTGGCACTGAGTGCAATTATCTCTTTCATCCTTGTCCTTAAAATGTTACTTCAGCAAAAATACTTCTGCTTGGTCCCACAGTGTTGTACTTGAGGCTTGCTGAATCTCATGATGTTGGGTGTCTTATTCTTGTCAGGCAACTATAAACCTTGTGTGAGAGGGAAATTACCTTCTTTCCTTTCAGTAGGGCATGTCCTGTGTAGGACAGAAAATGTAAATAACATTACACCATCATTCCCCTCCCTCCAAAAATTCTAGTATTCAATGAAAAAAAAAACTATGAAGAGAAATCATCTTGGAAAGTTATTTTAGCTTGGATTAGAAAAATAGTTCCAAGATTTTACAAAGACTTTTTTTAAATAACAGAAGCAACTGAAGACATTGTCAGTTTAGTTTGCAATTTTTTGTTTAACTTTTGCCTCCTTGTTATCAGAGATTCATAAGAAAACATTTATTTCTTTGATAAAGGGAACCAAAATAAGATTTTGTACTGAGTGCCCATTGCATGCTGGGTAAAATCTCCTCAATATCTGATTTGCTCTCAAAATTCCTTGGAACTCTGGTATTTATCATCATCATCATCATCATCATCACACTCCAGACAAGTAGGGAGACAGAAGTTTTGATGGAGTACCACTCACGCACAGGGTCACATAAATTGTATATAAAGAGCCAAGATTTGAACACAGCTCCGTCTGATTCCAAAGTCCATGCTCTCTAGGACTCTATGCCACTGGTTCCATGGCAGATTATCAGTGTGTAATAGGAACCATAATGGCAGCTGACTTAGAACATTACAAATTGTCTAAGTATAGAACAACCAAGCCATAGGGCCAGATTGAAAGCCTCCAAGTGTTAAAACACAGTCCCTTTGGGTGAACACAAGGGTTGAAAACACAGAGTGAAGGGTGCTTGTTTTCAAAGCTCACCTGCACTCTGGGCCCTCTCTCTGAGATACTGCCTTAATTTCCTTGTCAGCTATTCTTTGTATTTCTAATAATTATTGAAATACTAGTGTCATATTTAGTTTTTACTGAATGATGAATTCATACAAATAATAGCATAAAACGTGAAGGCATGGGATTTCATAAGCTGTATTACACATATGACATCTTGTTCACCCATAGGTAGTCTTTATGAACTGTCTGCCCACAAATGCCATTTGAATATAAAATGAGGTTAGCTTACTTGTTGGAGTTGTGTTAATAGCAAATGGGCATCTTCTGCAAATGGCACTCTTCTTATAAGGTCCGTAATTGCTGCCGTCATGAAGAAAATGCAGCCGGTCAGCAGGTGGATAGAGCTGAGGTCTGTATAGCTATACCACTCAAACAAATGCCCTGACTCATACATTGCTCTTCAATACCTCATTCTGACTTTTGAGGCCAAGAACCACGCAGGATTGCTAATTTTCCTCATGTGGATGTTTCTCCATGGCTCTGGTCTCTGTGTGCAAAGTCAGGACAGCCTAATTTCATATGTTTGACAGTCACTATGTCTGATGAATAACTGCTTGTGAAAGGCTGTTGTTCTAGCTCCCAATCTGGTGCTGATTGAACTTTAACGGTGGAGATTCAGCAAAGGCAGAGCTGTGTTCCCCAAACGGACCCTGACTCTGGGAACAGAAATGAAGTGAATTGTTAGGTGCAAAACACTATCAATCCCTACCAGCTCTAGGGTCCCTGACAACTCCAGCATGCTCCAGAACTAAGATCTTAAAAATCTAGGGATATTGGTAATTCCAGCAATTGGGAACATTGATTTTGGTAAGCAAGTCTATTTCAGAATCAATATCTAATCTGTGCCTTTTGTGATTATCTAATAGCTGAAAGCTACTCAAACTTATTATTATTATGATGATGATGATGTGTGTAAATGACACCAAGAATCCACAACCTAGAAAGAGATAGAGTGTAAATTTCAAATGCCTATTATCTTTTAATAGTTTGTATTTTCTGGTTGGATCATCGGTATTTAATCAAGCACAGGCTTGATGCTTGTCATTGTCTTAAAAAAAAAAAAACAGGTTGAACTTGCAAGTCAAAGAAAACACTGATTGAGCTGTCAAGGTCAGATCTACTCTAACAAAAAGTCTTATCAAACAGTCACAAAGACAGGTGAGGGAGCCCTGTCTTTGAAAAACTGAACAGTGGGTTTGCAGGTGTAACCACATGCCGGATTTTCCCCCACCAGGTAGCAGATTCTTTAAATTTTTGAGGAACATGACCCTTAGCTGCAGCAGAATAAACAGTTAGTTTCAAAGCCCTCACGCTGCCTTCTCTTTGATGGTGTTTGCCTTGCAGACCCTTCGCCTCCTGCCAGCTTTGAAGTCAGCCCTGAAAAGACAACTTCAACCACCCTGCAGGTGAGGTGGACCCCTTCTTCTGGAAAAGTCACGTGGTATGAGGTGCAACTATTTGATGATAACAATCAAAAAATGCAAGAGGTCCAAGTTCAAGAGAGTACCACACGGAGGCAATGCACTTTTTCGAACCTCACTGCTGGCAGTAATTACAAAATTGCCATCATGGCTGTTTCCGGAGAAAAACGTTCCTTTCCTGTATATACCAATGGGTCAACAGGTAAGATCTGTATTGTCTGTGGCTAATAGCATGCAATATGTTTTCTTTTCTTCTTATTGATGGTGCTAGGGACGAAACCCCAGAGACCCCTGCATGCTACGCAAACACTGCCCAGCCCTATGTGGCACCTTCAAAATAATATGTTATCAAAGGAAACGGGACTATGCCACCATCATACGTGAAAAAAGTAAATAACCTTTCAAAAGGCAGTTATAAGGGAGAGGAGACTGGACTGAGCATGGGGCTAGGTGATTTTGAACAAGTCACCAGATTTCTCGGAAAACAGAATTTTCTCTTATTTAAAATAGATACTCCCTAAACATCTAATTCAAACCCATGAAAATGAGATTTTCTGCCTCGTTTTCCAAATTTGCATCACAATGCATATGTTTCCTCTTTTGTATATTCTCATAATATACAAATATTTGTATTGTATATTTGTTTTGATATCTTCTGAGTACTCTTGTGTTTAAAGTAAGTGTTTGCTTCCTGAATATGGTGAAAAACAATCCATCGAGTGTCCCCATGTGTCACGATGCCACTCCCAGGAAACGCATGGCAGTCCTGTAGCTTGCTCTCATCTCTGTCTCTGGTTACTTCTATCTCTTTCCATTTTTCATCTCCTACGGTTTGTTCCTTTATCTCCTCTATTTATTGTCATTGGCAAGACTACACTGCCTTGGCCACACCTACCTTAATATCTATAAAGCAGAGGAGATAAAACAGGCAATGTATGATGTCCCTTTAGCCCTTAAAGCCTATGGGCTTTATAAAGGTGGTTAATGAAGGTTCCAGTGAACTCTCAAGAGGGTCATTACTAATTATTGCTATGATACAAATTAAGATACAAAGGGAATTATAAATAAATATGTAAATTAAAGAATTATGTCTGTGTTTTCTACAAGGGGATTATGAATGACCTTGTAATATGTATTTTTATTCCACTAGTGCCGTCTCCTGTGAAAGATATTGGCGTCTCCTCCAATCCTAATTCTCTCCTAATCTCCTGGTCTCATGGTTCTGGGAATGTGGAACAATACAGGCTGGTGCTCATGGATAAAGGGACCTTGGTTCAAGACAGGAATGTGGACAGGCATGATACTTCTTATTCTTTATATGGACTGACCCCTGGACACCTATACAACCTCACTATTGTCACCATGGCTTCAGGACTACAAAACTACAGGTGGAAACGAGTGAGGACGGGTAAGTTCTTCTTCTTTAGCTAAACAAGAGCAAAGCTCAAACCAAGTTTAAATCGGGTTTGTTATTTGGATAATGGACAAGTTGAAATTTATATGAGTTATAGAAAGACTTGAACAGATATCTTTTTTTTTTTTTTTTTTTTTTTTTTTTTTTTTTTTTTTTTTTTTTTTTTTTTTTTTTTTTTTTTTTTTTTTTTTTTTTTTTTTTTTTTTTTGGTTTTTCGAGACAGGGTTTCTCTGTGGCTTTGGAGCCTGTCCTGGAATTAGCTCTGTAGACCAGGCTGGTCTCGAACTCACAGAGATCCACCTGCCTCTGCCTCCCGAGTGCAACAGATATCCTCTTGATTAAAGAAAAAGAGTCCTCTTTTCGTCTAAAGTTGAAGGCAGCCCTTGGTGGTAGTTTGAAGTAGACAAAGTTATAACATGGTTCAAATTTCTCCATTTAATACATGCGTAAGGCTCCCTACTTCTGACTCATAAATAGGCATCTACTATTATCTTTGTGAGTTGGGGGTGCTTTTCTTAGTGTTGTATAGAGATACGTTCTTGTGTAACAGTCATTTCCAAAACCCTCTACCCAATAAAATATGTGTCAGACAGCCTAACCTACACTGAAAATGCTAATTGGTGCTACTTTCTAATGTGATTCATTTAGTCAGTATTTACTGTGCATTAGGCATATGCCTAGCATTGCAAATTCATATACTTCAAGTTAGACAATGCCTGAGTTCTCGTGGAACCCACATTTGAATGCGCTAATTAGTGTAAAGTGTTGATAAAATTTTTCTCTTTGTAGTTATCTCATTTTAAAATAATCTGTAAAATAGATTGTACCATTGACATTATTCTAGTAGGAAGAGTACCTGGAACTATAGGACGCTGAGGAAGAAGATACTGCGGACTCCTACATATATGTATATCTTTTATAACACACCCCAAAAATATATGATGTTCTTAAGAAAAATGCACAAGATATCTTAAGAGCTATCTATAAACATCAAGAACAAATACAGCCAGGTATACATCTGCAGTCCCAGCACTCAGAAAGCTGAGGCAGGAGGACCACAAGTTTGAGGAGCACCTTGATTATAAAACAAGTTCTAGGTCATCCTGTACTGGAGAGAAGGAAGGAGGGCAGAGACAGAGAAAGACAGAGACAAAGGGACAGTTTGAGAAAGAGAGACAGTTTGAGGAGAGAGAGAGCACAGTTACAGTGTGTGTAAGAGGTAGAAAATGTATTCATCAAAACTTCTTTCTTGTCATGAGTTTTCCTTTGATGAAAGAGTAACACAGCTTTTTATTATGACTTAATATAAAAAGAATTTCAGTGGGTTTGAGAAACGTAGTGGATCAGCTGTCAAGAGTGCTGGTTGCTCGTCCAGAGTCTAGTTTCTAGCACCTTCAATGGACAGCTCACAACTGCCCGTAACTCCAGCTCCTTAGACTTAATGTCCTCTTCTAGCGTTTGTGGGCACTTGGACACACGTGATGTGCATTCACACACACACACACACAAACACATAAGAACAAAACCTGGTAAAAAGTATTTTAGCACACAAATATTTATAACTACCAACTAATCAACCTATTTACTGTGTACTTAATGCTACTAAATATATAAATACAGACAAGCACACTCAAAAATAAATTAGGTAGATGGCAGACCTCTTTGTGAATTTTATCTAAAGAATCCCAGAGCACAGAGAACTGTCCAGTCTTCTGGGGGCAGCTTGCCAAGTCCCAGCTAGAATCCAGGTTCCTGGCTGCATGATAGCGTTCTTGCCATAGCATGGTCTTTCTTGGATTTCCAGTATCATTTTGCCTCTCAAGTGATTTTTCTCTTGATCAAACAGTATGTCCTGAAGGCGTTAAAGTTAAGGTCAAAATGTGGTCATAGGGAGGGCAAGATCTGAGGAGTAATATCTCTGTTTCTTCTGTTGCTAATTAGCTCCTATGGAAGTCTCAGATCTGAAGGTGACGAATGACGCCAGTTCGACCTCTCTGAAAGTCAAATGGCAGAAACCCCTTGGAGATGTAGATTCCTACAACATCACCCTGTCTCACCAAGGGACCATCAAGGAATCCAAAACATTAGCGCCTCGTGTTACCGAAACTCAATTTAAAGACTTAGTTCCTGGGCGGCTTTACCAAGTTACCATCAGCAGCATCTCTGGGGAACTATCGGCTCGGAAGACAGCGATGGGCAGAACAGGTAAGTCAGCCTCCAAAATAGTCTGTGGTTGCCTCAGTCCTGCTCAAGTCTATCTCAGAATACGACAAAGTCACGTAGAAGGGAGCTTCTTTTCCTACCTGGGAAGGAGAAGAGTCTTTACGACCAAGAATGCCTATAGAACAGAACCCAAGAGCAGAGGTACATAGAGGGCTAATTGCATACAATTTGTCAATTAAACAAATGTGCTCGGGTTCCTGTGTGGCCTGCGTGTGTCCTTGCTCTCTGCTCTCTCACGCCATGTCACCTAAGTCACACAAGTGCACGAGCATCAGTGTCAATAGAGAGAGCATTTCTGGCTCATCCTTATAAGGCGGCGAAGTTAGCACTTGACTGTGTGTCGTATAAATAATTTTATTAATTTATGTTACCTAGCAGTTACCTTGTTCTTTATTTGAATAAATTGCTGGATTACAAACCTTGGACACTTTTAAAGTGCTTATGATGTGCTATTGATTTCGGGCAAGGTTCTGAAAAGTACACCCTATGGGCAAACCCGCTTGGTGGCTTGTTTTTGTATTTCCCCAAATGAAAACAGGATCTTTCCAGGGTCATTTATGTAGTTCAATACAAGTTGTTTTTTGTTTTTGTTTTTGTTTTTGTTTTAACAGACCTTTGCTTAATAGATCTTACATTTTGACCAAAGACTAACACACACACACACACACACACACACACACACACACACACACCAAGAATAGAACCCTTTAGAAATGCTAATGGCATTATTAATTTCACATGTCAGGCCCCATATAAACACTTTACACCTATTTCATTTATTTATCCCAAGAAAACTGTAAGCTAATAGCTATACCGTTAGTGTAGACATTGTACACATAACCAGGGATGATTAAATAACTTGTTCATGATCATCTGGCCAGAACATTCTGGAGCTTGACTTTAAACCAGATGGTTCTATCTGAGTCCAATCTCAGTGCCATTAGAGATCTCAAGAAAGAGCTATATAGCCCAAAGCGACCGAGAGCAACATTCTCCTTTAGTAAAGTAGACTCTTAGTGGAAATGGCCTTGCAGCAGAACCCAGAAAGTGTAAACTTCCTGAAAAATAAAAAGGGAAAGAAGGGATGTCTGTGAGAGAATAAATGATAGGAACAAGAGCTCAGAAGTCAGAGCTCAGGAGACACAGCTCTGCAGCACAGAGCCCTGAACACGCGAAAAGGAAGAGGCAAGGAGGGCTGGCTGCAGGGAGAAGTCAAGGGTTAGTCTAAGAGGAGAACAAGTCTGATCTTGTAGCAACGCGAATGTAAATGAAGGACCTGGGATTTCATTTGGTCATTTTTTTTTTTGAAAAGACTCTGAGTGTTTGTACTCAAAACACTCCTAAAACTATGATGCAAAAAGTTTGTTCTGTGCAGTTGGAATTAAAAAAAAATTAAGACTGTTTCGTGACCACAACATCCAGCATCTTTTCCCAAAGATGTCGCACCATGAGATGCAATGTCAGGGATCGCAGACAAGCAAAGAAAAACAGCAATCGCGTCACTAGGCTAGGAACAGTGTTGCAAGAGAGTGCATAACTGTTGTGTAATGAAATGATTTTCACATGTGTTTCTTGAATGTCAAATGTCTTCAAAATGAAAAAAAAAAAAAGTACTCACCTGAGGTACGTACGCAGATCTCTGGAAGGGATACAAATGTGTACAAAAGCAGACGATGTGTACTTTATATATTGCTTCCTGTGAAAAGAAAATGGATATTCTTAAATTTCGTTTTTAACGCTCCCTTGGCATATCTTTGTTTAGTTCCAGAAAAAGTGAGGAATCTGGTTTCCTACAACGAGATTTGGATGAAGTCCTTCGCAGTGAACTGGACGCCCCCTGCTGGAGACTGGGAGCACTACCGTATCTTGCTCTTCAATGAATCGGTGGCGCTGCTCAATGCCACCGTGGGAAAGGAGGAAACGCACTATGTCCTGGATGCCGTGGAGCTCGTACCAGGAAGACTGTATGAGGTGGAAGTCATTGTTGAGAGTGGCAACCTGAGGAATTCTGAGCGCTGCCAAGGCAGGACAGGTAAACAACCGCGAAGGGGTTCGTGATTGGCAGAACTTAATTCGTTCCCTGTCTCACGTAACCAGAGACATGATATTTCTGTACTCCCTCGAGATGAAGTATTAAGAGATTAACAGAGTTTCTAAAATTTAATTTTATCAAATGTTAACATTAGGCTTCCTTTCCACTGGTAACTCCATTATTTCATGAAAGAAAAGACATTTTAAAGATGTATTTTTTTTATGATCTTTAAACTATGTGTTGGTCGGAGGGAGGCAGTATGTGCGCCTAAGTCCAGCAGAGGGCAGAGGATCCCAAAGAACCTGAGTCAAAAGAACTTGTGAGGTGTCCAACCTGAGGGCTGGGAACTGAAGCCAGGTCCTGTGCAAGAACAGGAAGTACTCTCAACCACTGAGCTATCTCTCCAGCCCCAAGAAAACCCATTTTAAACGCCAAAACAACAGGAAAGACGCAATCTGAGACTAAAGACCGATCTTCCAAAATGTGTCTGTAACCCAATTCCCATTGCTTTGTCCTAATATTGGCTACTCTGAGGAGTTCAGGTAGCGGGGTTGAGTGACTGAGGTGGAGAGGGATATGTTAGGATGTCAGGAAAGGCAGGGTTAGGACACGTGGATCTTGATCATTTCCTTGTCACCTTTATGTGGCATTTCTTTGGCAGATATTAACCCCCCCCCCCGCCATAAAATCTGTCTTCTCAATTTTCAAGTGTGATGGTTATCCTTCCAAGTTCAACACATCTATGAAGATCGTTGGGATGTAGAAGAGCCCATACTTGCAGTGAGATTCAACTCTCTTAGTCTTGCTTGCTAAAGAAATAACTTCACTGATCCAATGTTCTCATGAGAAGAATGCCAAACAGGATGGTTGCTGCGATAACCACTTAACTCGCCAACTGTATCTTTCAGGGACCTTTTCCTTTTGCAAATATTAATGTCTGATGGATAATGATCAAAGGCACGGCCAGCATAAGCAAGACCACTCACAGCACCGGGTGTCTTTGTCATCCCCCCCCCCATATTTTGCCAATCACTTTGAGCAATCCGGAAACGTAAGATAAATAAACAGTAGAGACCAGCATCATTGGTGCAATTCTATGGAGAACCCTCCTCCAACTTTGATTTTTAATTTATTTCCTGCTCAATTTGTTTTCAGACTATATCATGTCTTCAGTTTCTTCTGTGGAACCTCGTCTCCTAGTTTAGAAACTCTCTGTTCTTTCCCGATAAGGTTCATGTCCATGTGGCTGGAGGGTTTGGAAATCTGGCTCGGAGCAGTGTACATCTTTAAGACTTGCCAGAATCCACGCAAAGCCCTTAACTGTCTCTCTCTGCATTTCTAAACACAAGTTGCAAAGCAGTTCAACACTCTCTTGGGGCCACTGACCCAGTGTTCTGCCCCATTGTTTGGCCTGGACCCCACATACTAGTAAGGCTGCAATGTTCACACTGTTTCTTTAAAATTTTGTCTTTCAGATACTTGATGAGTTTTTTTTTTTTTTCCAGAAACACATGCCCTTGATGGACTAGGTGTTTCTGCAAATTTCCTTACAGTGAATACAAAAAATTGAACCCCTTGATTTGCACTTTTTTTCAGGGTTTTCTGGTTCATTCAAGTAGCAAACAGGTGAAACATTTATCTAATTATTCTTTACCAATAAAAATCAAGAGTCAGATGTTGGGGTAAGAATTTTAATGATCAGAGAAGCTGTGGAGAAGCCACCAGTGACCTCCTATCTCTCCTGTTCCTCCATCCAACCGGCTGAGATCCTCTTTCAGTTCCACCTTACTACTTCCTGTCTCCTCTCTGTACTCAGTCCTCCAAAACCTCTATGGTTAATTTTGGTCAGCTAATGGCTAGCTCCACCCTCTGACTCAAAGCAAACTTTACTGTCAGAATGTGATGAAAATATCACACAACAGCAAACCGATCTCATACCTTGAGCCAAAAAAAAAGGAAGAGCGAAGGTGTCTTTTTAAAACCACGCTTCCAGATGATGAATAAGGTAGCTTAAGGTAGGCCTTGACAGAAACCAACACTGACTTGTTTACACAGATGAAGAAAGATGTGGTGATCCATTACCATGGAACTATAGAAAATTTCAAATCAAATTGTAGTTTCATACAATTGACTCTTTTTAAAAGTTGGCTTCCGTCTTGTTTTGTGGAATCAATATTTTGCTGTTAGCAATACCTTCTAGACATTATAGTGATAATGTCTTTTAAAGAAGTAGAAGAAATTAAGATCCTTTGAAGATAAGGGCTGCCCTTACTAAGATCTTTATTATAACTTCTCAGTTGCCTTCCCCTTCATGGCACAGCAGGGTTCCCTCAGAAATAAAGGGTGGGACGCTTGGTCTTTTAAGGCTTTGAGAGTAGTAAAAAGTTCTCACTCCACTTAAATAAGCAATCATAGTCTATATGAATGCCCAGATCACGGAGTGCCCCAAAGTCAACTAGGAGACCGAATCCTGTATGTAAAAGCAAAGAGCCTTTATTCTTATTCGAGTTTGAACTCGGACTCTCGGTGTGTCCAATGTATTGAAGAGATCATAGAAACCCGAGCTCAGTAGGGGTGATATTTTTATAATAGCAAAGGTTGGGGTGAGGGATTTCTAAGGTTCAGGACCTCTGATTGGCTGACATTTGTCTAGGGGTGTCCTGGTGAAAAGCGATGTGTGTGCTGGCAGGTGATCCTATCCTCAATGGTTGGAACATTAGGAATTTCCTTTGGAGGGTCTGTTCCTGCGTGGTGCCTGGGTGGTCTCAGTTGGTGGTCTTTCTTGGAACCAGGTATTGCTTTAGGGTGAACTGCTGAGACTCAGGCCTCTGTTGAGCTTGTCATGACTGGTCCAACAGTCTATTCATTATAGTTTTGTGGTCACGAGATTTCGCTTAATGATTTTCAAAACAAGGATCTACAAGAATAGAGAAGTCCTGGGGCTGGCGAGATGGCTGAGCAGTTAACAGCACACCCTACTTCTGCAGAGACGAGAACAGATGGTCTCTAAAATTTTCTAATGGATCAATGACCCCAAGTCTCAATTGATTTTTCCTCAGTCCCCCTGGCTGTCGTCCAGCTTCGTGTCAAACATGCTAACGAGACATCGCTGGGCATCATGTGGCAGGCCCCCCGAGGGGAATGGGAGAAATACATCATTTCTCTGACTGACAGAGACCTCTTAGTCATCCACAAATCCCTCTGCAAAGACACCAGAGAATTCACCTTTACGGACCTGGTCCCCGGACGAAACTACAAGGCTACCATCACTACTATGAGTGGAGATTTAAAACAGTCATCTTCAACAAAAGGAAGAACGGGTAATAATATTCTCAGTTTTTACCTTTTACAATGGTATCCTCGAAAACTTATTAGGTACTTGGCATGCCATTAAGAGCCTTTTTTTTTTTGTATTTTCTCTTTTACCAAATTTCTTCTTTTCCTTAGCTGTATTTTACTAACTAGAATGCAGTAGAGAATAACCATACCATGAAGTTGTATTGAAAAAGAGAACAGAAAAAAGGGGGCACTACGGAGAATAGGAAGTATGGGCAAAAGTATGCTTTCTAATTATGAAAAGAGCAGGCTATTTTACATTGATTTTAACAGCTAAAGGAAAGGGGGATGTTGATATTGTCAGGGGAGGTGAAGGTGTTGTCATTCAGTGAGGGATACAGGATCTATAGCGCTATGGGAGAATTGGCTTTAAGAAGGAGAATGGATGATTGAACTTCAGGGTCTGCAGGGAAAGAAAGGACTTGAGTACCCATGCCAGCAGGTGCACCTGCAATGTTGAGCCCAGCTCCTAAAATCCCCATCGTTTTCTCAGTGCTGTAGGAAACAGCATCCCAACCAAGACTGGTGTTAACCATGGAGATACCCTGGGTTGTCTGTATGGGCTTTCCCTCTTTCTTCAGCTTTATTGAAATATGTTGGAGTGTTTGCCTGCATGTATGTATGTGTACTGCTATGTGTGTGCCTGGTGCCTCCAGAGGAGGCTGGAAGAGAATGTCCCATCCCCAGGAACTGGAGTTACAGATAGTTGTGAGCCAGCCTGTGGTCGCTAGGAAACAAACCCAAGTCGTCTCCTAAAGCAGCAAGTATTTTTACCTTCTGAGCCCCCTCCATTCCCTGTATTTCTCCTTGTAAATTGTACCTCCCCAAAACATGGCTTTGTGACGTCATGCTCTGTTCAGCTTTTCCTTTCAACTTAACCACCTGCTTGTCTTTCTTTCCTGTGTTTCAGAAGTTCCAAGTAAGAGGGTTTGTCCTTTGTTCTGAAGGACATTTTTTAAATTCCTTATTGAAAAGTCCTGTGGACAAACTCTCTGCTTTTACTTTTTTTTTTTTTTTCTTTTCTGGCTGTGTCTTTACGTAGATCTCAGTCTTGCAAAGCAGTTTTCCTATGTTTATGTCTTGAAAGGTATTTTCTATCAGGACAGTGGAAGAATTTTCGTAGTTTCTCTGGTACTTATTGTCTGTTAAGAAGCAGGCTTCCGGTCTAATCCTTCCTTTCCCATGAGAAGTCCGTTTAATATGGCCATTATAATCACCACCCCCTTTACCTCTGCCATCCCGCTATACCAGAGGAATGATCTAGGTACAGAAATCCTTTTACTCCCTTACCCGAGATTGGTTGGGACATCTGTTCTTTCAAACCACCGTCTTTCCTCAATCCTGGAAATTTTCGCGATTAACTCTCCTGCACTGTCTCTTGCCTCCTTCCCATTCCCCATTTGTAACAGGCTTTGCAGTTGATGTATTTACTTCCTGGTCTGCAATTTGCATGATTGCTTCAGCTGTTTGTTTCAGCTCATGAGTTCTTCTTCCCAGCTCTCTCAGCTCTCTCTCATCTATTAAATTCTGTTATAGTTTTGACTTTCATATGTTCTCTTTGATTTTCTCCTCTCTATATATGTTATTTTGCCCTCTAGTTAAATATATACTACACTCACACACACACACACAGTCCCACAGTCTCCTCTCTCTCTCTCTCTCTCTCTCTCTCTCTCTCTCTCTCTCTCTGTCTCTCTCTCTATCTCTCTCCTCTCTCTCTCATACACACATGTACACTGAACAAGAGTTTTATGACTGAGCTATCTCCCAAGCCCTTTAGATATGTTCTAGCTGTATTCTTTTATAACTATATGTAAATTTAAATATAGTAATATTTAGATATAATTATATATAATTAAAATGTTAGCTTTGCATTCTGTCAGCCATTATACTGAAATCTGAACTCCAGGCGTCAAGGGCTACTGTTTGTTGATTTTTGAGGCTATTTGCTCATGCTGTTTTATTTCTTTAAATGTTTCTCTCTTTTTTCTATAAGCTTATATTCCTTGGAATCTTAGTCTATGTGTATTCTCTAGGGCTTTGTTTGAAGATGCATTTCAGAAAGAACTTTCATCTGATTCTTCCCCAGGACTATTGTCAACTCAGAACTAGCTTAACATAATTAGTCCGTCTGAGGATTTTGAACACGTACGTTTGGGAATTCCAGCTGTGAAATTACCTGACGTGAGTGAGAAGGAAACACAGGACATGTAACAAACCCACTTAGGAGTTTATAGAGGGGGCATGTACAGGCCTGGGGAAGTCGGTATGCAGAGAGAGAGAGAGAGAGAGAGAGAGAGAGAGAGAGAGAGAGAGAGAGAGATAGCGCATCCATCCAGCTTTTAAAAGCTGCGTAACGCATGTGCACAGGGGGATGACGTGATTACGTCATACACAGATGACGGGGCTCATGCATGCACGCAAGGGCTTAGCTGAGTCATACGTAGATGATGCAACTATGCATTCGCTCAAGGGCTTAGCTGAGTCATATGTGGATGATGTAACCACACCGCACATGGGTCACACAGGGCCCTTTAACATCCTCGGGGCCATTAGGCACTTCTGCCTGAGGGTTTGTCTGCACATGCAAGGCCCTAGAACCCAGAAGTGTCTGCCTTACTGTGGCTGAAATCATAACATTCCACCCTTTTTTATTATAAAAATTTGGGGGAGTTTGGGGTCTTTAATGGGTGGGAATGGGGTGTCATAAGGTCTCTCGTGACTGCTTCCTGTTGATTTTGTGGGCATTGGAGAGTTGAGATGCTTGACCACGTCCTGGGGTGGCTGATTACTTTTGTGTTTTTTCCGGGCTCTGTAGAACTGCCTGGCCGGCAGCTTGGATCTCGCAAAAATGCTGGAAAGGCAGAAAATTATGTCTGGAAAAAAATTTTAGATCCCGGTGATTAAGGGAGGAGAGTCCCAAGATGGTAGGTAGAAGGGGACTTGGGGGGGGAGGGTGAAGGAGGGAATTTTCCAGGAGTTCCCAAGACCAGGAATGATAAGGGAATAATTAAATTGTTGCGGTGTAGATTAATGCAGACAAATTGTAAGAAATATATACACAGCTTTAATGGAAAAATCATACAAAACCAAGGTTCTAGTGGAGGACAGGAAACAGGAAGGGGTGCGCCTGATTTATAAGTAAACCTTCGCCTGAGGCAAGCCCGCCCCCTAAGGGGGGTGGCTTAACCCTACATTAAATGATACTTATCCTGGGAGAGTCTGGTCCTTTTTTTTTTTTTTTTTTTTTTTTTTTTTTTTTTTTTTTTGATTTTTCGAGACAGGGTTTCTCCGTGGCTTTTGGTTCCTGTCCTGGAACTAGCTCTTGTGGACCAGGCTGGCCTCGAACTCACAGAGATCTGCCTGCCTCTGCCTCCCTAGTGCTGGGATTAAAGGCGTGCACCACCCCTGCCCGGCTGGTCCATTTAGATTGGTCCAATTGGCTCCCTGGAGCTTATAAAAAAATGTTTGAAAAGAAATTTTAAATTTTAGACATAACTAAAAACTTATAATTACGATGATACAGTGTTAAAATGGAAGATGGTGGAGGGGGGAAGGAAAAGAAGGGAGAATTATTAGAAAGGATAATTATTAGACCCCTCAGTGTTTTACCTGAAGTAAATATTAAGGACTTGTTCTCTTTAGCATCATGGTATGACCTTAACATCCAAGAGACACTGCTGCAGTCAGTGACAAACCTGTTATGTTAAAGTCTGTTTTGTGAGTTTTTGGAATCTGGGGCTGTGAATGTCCCCAATTCATTATTGTTTCTTCCCACCTGGGCTTTTGGCAGTCCTTATATGTTGAAATAGGAGCAGCGGGGCTGCATCCCCAGCACCCCGGCCGCCTGCTAGCTCATGCCCGAAATAACAACACACAAACTGTATTCATTTAAACACTGCTTGACCCATTTCTATCTAGCCTCTTCTAGGCTAATTCTCACATATTAATTTAGCCCATTTCTAATCATCTGTGTAAGCACCCCAAGGTGCGCTTACCGGGAAGATTCTAGCCTACGTCCATCCTGGGTCAGAGGAGCTTCATTGCGTGCATCTGCCCGGGAGAGCAGAGCATGCCTCTCTGTCTGAGGCATCTGGCTCTGAGAGGAGCTGCATTACTTCTGACCTCACTTCCTCTTCCTCCCAGCATTCTCTTCTGTTTACTCCACCCACCTATGTTCTAACCAATAAAATAGGCCAAGCCAGTTTCTTTATTAGCCAATGACCTTCCTCCATCACTTATACCTCCAGCTCCATGTTTAATGATGGTCCCTGTAATAACAGCTGAGTGGTTACCTGGAAATTTAAGCATGACCTTGGAGATGTAGAGAAGTTGGTAAAGCAGACAGGAGAAAGAAAGAGAAAGAGGGGTTGTATTGGAGTTTTTGGCACAGGAGAGTTGAGTACAGTGATGAGACTTTTATTTTTCTGGAACTGGAGAAAAAGTGACTGATCTTGGTGCCCTCTGGAACTTAAGAGAACAGGGCCTGTTTGAGTTATACGAGGGAGTATCTTGAGCTGGAAGAGTAAAAGGTTTAAGGTGGGACAGGTGAACCCAATGAGGAAGTCCCTTGAGCTTGGCAGCTGTGGGAGTTACAAGAATTACTTTAAAGGGGCCCTGCCATTTAGTGGAAAAGGGTGAGGGGCATTGATCTAGGGGAGAGAATAGTACCTGATCCCCTATTTTAATCAGCAGTGGGCATGAATTGGCACCCGGTTGAGATAATGACTAGTCTGTAAAATCCCATAATAGGGAGCGAAGATGGGATAACAGCAGAGTAAGCAGGTGATCAGGAAGGGGAGAGGTTTTAGGTGAGAGACTGGGGGTTAAAACCAGATGCCCAAACATGAATTCAAAGGGAAAGATGAAAGGGTGGCTTTTTGGGAAGAGCCCTAAGCCTAAGAAGGGCCAGAGGCAAAAGTTTTACCCAGTTGAGGTGAAGTTTCTGTGACATCTTAGCAAGAACATCTTTTAAGGAACGGTT